CGGATCATCTGAACCGAACCGGATCATCAGAACCGAACCGGATCATCTGAACCGAACCAGATCATCAGAACCGAACCGGATCATCTGAACTGAACCGGATCATTAGAACCGAACCATCTGAAGCCAGTTTATCTGCATGTCTTCTAGAGTCAGACTCCAGGCTCCCAGTGGAGGATTACTGGGCTGCACGCTGGGCCCCATCGCCGTCGTGGCTCCGCCCCCTCCCAGTAACCGGCCCAGTATAAACCCTTTAAACCCAGCTGGCTCTGGGTGAGCTCCCTAATCCAGGGGTTGCTGCTCGCTGGAGGCTGAAACTTCAAGCTTTCATCTGAAAAATACGACCCGAGGACTCAGAGGCACTTCTAGTAGATCTGGTTCTACCTCCCTGCCGTTTGGCCCCGGGGCCAGGAGCCCCGCAGCGAGGGCACGATGGGAGGATTCCCAGGGCGCAGTGGATGGAGCGAGGAGTTGCCTCCCTGCTGTGTTTAAGGCCCAGAAAGTCGGGGGCCCCGGGCAGCCCTCATCAGGGGCCCCCACCCGTCTCTATGAAGTTTATTCAGGAGGTTCAAACAGGCTGAAGGTCAAAGGTTAACTTTTCTATAAACTCGCCGCTCTGCATTTAAAATCTAAACTATAAACAGACTGAAGGAATAAACCAACGACCTTTGGCATTTCATCACATTTAGTTACTTTAACGCAGTTATTAAATGTCCTTTGGGGCTAAAATTAAAAACAGCTGATTTAACTAAATATGATCCAGTAAAAACTGAACGCATCATCTGTTACCTTCAGGGAGAAAACATTTTTAGATTCAATATGAAAATAAAAAATACGCAATTTAACAAAACCAACAATTAAAACAATTGAAAACAAGAACAAATAAAAAGTTTCACAAAACATAAAGATTATTGAAAATGTAATAAATAAAGAAATCATTATTGCCTCAATTAAAACCTGAATAGAGTAAAAAAGAATAGATACAATAAAAAACTGGAACGGTAAAAAATAGAATGACAATATTTCCCTTCACAATAGAGTAGAATAAGAACAGAGGAAGGAAACAGAGGAAGGGAACAGAGGAAGGGAACAGAGGGAGGGAACAGATAAAGGGAACAGATGAAGGGAACAGAGGGAGGGAACAGATAAAGGGAACAGATGAAGGGAACAGAGGGAGGGAACAGATAAAGGGAACAGAGGAAGGGAA